GGGCTGAGACCTGGCTCCTTGTGGACCATGGAAGCAACCATGGGGGTTGAGGAAAACCAGACAGCCAAGCCTGAGATAAGGGCTGGGATTCATTTCCCTTTGATATCCATCTCCCTGGGGGAGATGGCCATGTCTGAGCTACTCTCCCCTGGCTCCCTGCAGCCCTGGGGAGCTCATGGGCTGGTGCTGTGGTGCTGCCCCTGCTCTGCACTGGAGGTCTGGGGCACGTTTTGGCTCAGGAATGAGCTCTGTCGACAGAGTTGGTGGTAGAAAAATACACTGTGAAGCCTGTTCAGTGCTACTCTCACCTCTGGCAAGCATCCCTGTGAAACTGCACTGTCTGGCTCTAGAAACTATAAAACCAAATTAATAACTTTAATTTGTTTGGCTATTGCTGGCAGCTGGGGGGCTGGGCTTGGGGGATTTTTCTTGCAGGATGTTCTCCTGTTACCACCCTTGGCATCGCTTCTCTTCCAGTGAGCAAACGTGACGCTTGCCTGGGTTGACCCGGATGCTTTGTGAGTGCGGTGGTTTAGATCAGACCACGGGCAGGGCGCTTGTGCCAGTCTCTGAATTACAGAGGAAGAGGCTGCAGAAAAGGTGGCCTGACAGTCTTTTGAAAACAGAGAATAAACCCTGCACATACCCCAGGTGGCCCCTAAATCCGCAAGGGCACAAGTTGTGGGATGCTGGCAGGAACAAGCATCATCTGAAGCTGCTGCATGGAGGTACCGCTGCCTCTGCTGGGGTCTGGGGCAGCACAAGGACCATCCTGGTCATCTTCCCAAAACCTCCCCATGCTCGGTGGAGAAAGTCTGCAATGCCGCTGGCCACTTCTCCATCGCGTGGATTTTTTTTTATATGGCTGTAAATGAAGCCTCTTGGTGCAGATTTCCCTTTGGGATACAGCATGGATCCTCCGCGAAGCTCAGCAGCCTTGGGGTAGGAGGACCCAAGGTTTTATCTGCTGTGATTTTTATTTAGGACATTGATTTCTGTTGACTGATAGAGCAATTTCTCCTCCGCCATCCTGTGGCTCCCAGCTCTCTGGTGATGCGCTGCAGGGCTGCCTTCACGTGGCTTCTCTCTAATTACCTCCTTTTCCCTTAATTTACCATTATACCTTACAAACAGCATTTAATTGCAGCAGGATAATTACAGGTGATCTCCTAGTGCATCGTTTTAAAACGCTCAACCCCCTGAGCTGGGGACAGCCGCCAGTTTCCATCCTCGGTGCCAGCGAGCTGTGCCAAAATGGGTATTTCTGTGCCCGCTGCGTGTGGGCTGCTTGCAGAGAGGGACCTTCGGAACAGATAATGAGCTTTGCGGGGCTGGGAAGGTCATGGCTGCTATCTCAGTACTTGCCCTTGTGGTTTCATCCTCTTATCGCAATGCATCAGCGTAATAAAAGAAGCCAGAGTGCCAGCTTGGGGCATGGGTTAGTTTTAACTGGCAGGAGGCTTCAGCTTGAAGCTGGGTATGAAGGCATCAGGGCAGGGTCTGCATGCAGGCTTTGTGGCCGTGGCTGGCTGCCAGTGGGGCTTTTCAGGGTGGGGAGAGGAGCTGAGTTGTTTCTGGAGAACGAGGTGAAAATGTGGCGTGAAGCACCCTGAAAAATCGGCACTCTCATGTCTCCCTGTGCTCATCCATGCAGCCCCGTGGGGTCTGTGGGGCTCACATGAGGAGGAGCTGGGTGGTCCCTGTCAGGCTGGGGGGATGTAGGATGGGAGCACAGCAAGGAATCTGGGGGGACAGGACCCTGACACCTCACTGCATCCAATCAGAGAAATGGCAAAGCGTGGGGACCTGCCACGTTGCTCCAAGCTTGCAGGAGCCATGTTGCCCATTGTGGCACTGAGGGGCCTCAGCCCCTCTCCTTTCCTGGGGCGATTTCCACCTGTTCTTCTGGCTAACGATACAGCCTTAATGCCATTGCAATGTGGTGCTTGCAGGGGAGAATTTATTGAGCTCAGGCAGGTAGGTATCTCCATCGGTGTGACAGCACCACCGAGTTGCTTCCTAGAGTTGCTGATGGCCACAAATGGAAATCCAGAGGCTGAGAAGCTGACGCCATAGGACAAACCCATGTTCAGAGCTTGCAAACACTTTTTTGCTGAATTATTTCTGCCTAGCAAAACCACATATGAGTGTGTCTCATTAGAGAGCCTTAATGATGCTGAAGACTGATGTTTGTCGGAGCTTGCCCTTGGGACAGCTGCATATACCTGTCCACAGTGGAAAAAATAGCAGGTTTGCAAAAGCGTGGTGTAAGGGTTTAAATTCACCCTGGCCAGTTTGGTGCTGGGACTGATCCTGCAGAAACCTGCCTGTGGACTGAGCTCTGTGCAGTCAGAGCAGGTGGGAGTAATAGGGGATGGAGATAACACAAATGTAGGTGTCATGCTTTAACCCCAGCTGGCAACTAAGCACCACACAGCCACTCACTCACCCTCCCACTGCCCCTGGTGGGATGGGGGAGAGAATTGGGGAACAAAAAAGTAAACCCCATGGGTTGAGATAAAGGCAGTTTAATAGGACAGCAAAGGAAGAGAAAATAATAATAATGACAATAAAGGAATATACAAAACAAGTGATGCACAATGCAGTTGCTCACCACCCGCTGACCGATGCCCAGCCAGTCCCCAAGCAGCGATCACTGCCCCCCCAGCCACCTGCCCCCAGTTTATATACTGAGCATGACATCATATGGTATGGAATAGCCCTCTGGCCAGTTTGAGTCACTTGTCCTGGCTGTGCCCCCTCCCAGCTTCCTGTGCACCTGGCAGAGCATGGGAAGCTGAAAAGGTCCTTGACTTAGTGTCAGCACTACTTAGCAACAACTAAACCATTAGCGTGTTATCAGAATTATTCTCATACTAAATCCAAAACACGGCACTATGCCAGCTACTAGGAAGAAAATTAACTCTATCCCAGCCAAAACCAGGACAGGAGGGTCAGGTCCTTCCATGTTGCAGATTTTAGAAAGCAGGAGAAACCAGAGGTGAGTATAAAGCAAAACAGCTTTTTAAATATGATGGGTTACACTGTTCTTTTTTTTTCCAAAGGACAGGGGCAAACTCGTGTTTGTCCTTCGTTTATCTGATGCGAATTTGGTTCCCACCTCTTCCCACAACCAGGGGGCTTCTTGAGGTGAGGCTGGGGATGATCGTGAGCTCCCAGGGGATGTGGTAGTGTTCAGGGTGTCACTGGAAGCACACACACCCACCTCCTGCATTTTTTTTTTCTTATCCTGGGATATTTTTTCCCTCTGCTTCGTGCTTCTTTGCCTAAAATATGAAATCCTGATGCTTTGTGTCACTTTTCTGGAGATTCGTTTCTGATGTTATTAAAGGAAAAACTTCTTTCCCTGGATGAGACTCCAGTCCTGCTCCGATCCAAAGGAGAGGTTTGATGAAGAGCTGATGAATTGGAGCTTTTCTTGGACAAATCCTGATAAAATCAAGCCAGGTCATGGAAGCTGAAGCCCTGAGCCTGTTGCTTGATATTCAGGTGCCACCTGCAGCCCAAATTTAGAGTAACCTGCCAAGAGCTGAATAAATCACATGTGAAATCCAAGTAGATGGAAACATAGAAAATAACTGAGTCCTGGGGATGGTTAGAAGTCTGTTAGACATTCAAAACTCTCTGGTTTTAGTCCTTTTGAATAGTTTTGAGTTTTTCAGGCCAGCGTTTATCTAAAGAGGACCTGCCTTGGTATGCTGGTGAGTTGGAGCTAGCTGAAGCACAACCACAGTTAATCTGCTTGCAAGTTGCCAGCCTGCCTCCAGACTCCTGTAGAATTTCCATTAAAATCTTATTTTCCTACTTTTAAATGTAAGTAGTTTAGCGCATCCCAACTTGCAGAGATTTAGGGAGGGAGGAGGAGGTGCAGCCCTACCTCTGTGCTCAGCTTCATGTGGGGTTGATCACAAAGGAAGCAGCAAAGCCGAGGGGATTCCGTGTTTCAGTCTAATATAAAAAAATAATCTAAAAATAGAGCTCTGAGGGCTGGCTCTCTCTTGTCAGACAATAGAAAGGCAGCTTGTGGGAGCTGGCAGCATCCTGTCCCAAAGCGGATGTCCTGTGCCTTGAAATCTCCCACTGGGCATCTGGCACACCCGGGGATGGGCGATGCCTGCAATCACAGTGATGCTGAGGGGGAGCTTGGGGGGCTGCAGTGGTGGTTAATGCCACTGAGGGGTTCTCCTATCAGCCTAGGTTGCGGTGTCCCAGCTGTCCCCTGCCTGGAGGCACAGGACGGGGACGCTGTGCATCCTACAAGGCATCGCTTAGTGCATCCTGTGAGCCCTCCTTCCCTTGTGCCTAGCGCACCTGCATGTGTCCCTGTGGCTGGTGGGTCCCAAGGGCCCATTATTGAAAGGAGAGGGCTTTTGGCCACAGCGAATGTGTTACGGGCGCCAGGCCAGGCTCTTTGCTGTCTGCTGGGCTGTGCAGCTCTGGGGAGGAGCTGGGCATCCTCCATCTCTGCCTCCTTGGAGCAAAGGGCTCTCTGGCTGCCAGCTTGAGCATCCTCTCCTCTCTGTGGCTGTCACCCTGGGGACCACTGTCCTGTCGAGCTTCTCATTTGCAGGTCTGGGGATGGAGGTGGCTGCTCGAGGTTTCAGGGCATAGCGAAGGGCTGGGCTTGGCTGAGGTTTGTGTGAGCCCAGTGTGGGCTCTCGGGGACTGGCGATGGGGCTGGGGACAGGAACAGGCTGTGGGGCTGGGGCATGGTGAGCCGGGCTGCTGTGGGAGATGGGACATCACAAAGGCTTTGTAGATTCAGAGCAGTTGTCCATGTTGCAGCCATCCCCTTGGAGATGTTTCAGGTTTGGATGGTCAGACTTGAACTGATCTTTGCCCTGTGGATACAGGGCATTGTGCAAAGCTCTGGGGTCCTGGGGGAGGAGGAGGGGGAGTGGTGGGGGGCTGGCTCCATGGTGAGCTCCTGGGCCATGAGGGCTGTGCTGGTTGCTGACACGTCACTTCCTCCCCTCCAGGCTTGCCGCGATTTCCTGGACTTAGCTGAAACTCACAGCCGAAAATGGCAACGGGCGCTGCAGTATGAGCGGGAGCAGAGGATCCGTCTGGAGGAGACCATTGAGCAGTTAGCCAAGCAGCACAACAGCTTGGAGCGAGCCTGTCGCGGAGCCCCTGGCCTGTCCTCCAGCAGCACTGGCATCACCAGTACTGCTAAGGGTGAGCACCAGCGGGCTGGGCTGCAGGGCCAGGGCTGGGTGCTGTTACGGGGGCAGAACCCTGCGGGAAGCCCTGGATGGATGGGGGCTTTCTGGTCGATTGCTCCCACTGAGTCAGCAGCAATGGGAAGGATGCCCTGTATGCCTGTGACTTTTTTAATGGATCCCATTATGCCATAATTGTCCCTAATTGTCCTGCTGTTCCTTGCTTGGGGACTTAGATGTCCCCAAGATGTGGATGCAAGTGAGGGCTGTGTCCCCAGCTTGCTCGTGCTGTTTCAGAATATTTCAGTAGCTTTAACCCTCACCAGCTGGCACATCTCTGGCTGCTGGAGGGCAGCTGTGGTGCTTGGAGGAAGCCCAGGATTCTCTGGCGCTGTCACATTCCTGGCTGTGCAGGGTGGCAGTGGCACAGCAGGAGCTCATTTGCTGGTTGCAAGAGTTACTGAGTGCTAAAATCTAACAGCTTTGCATATTTGTGCCAAATCTCATTCCCTGCAGGAGGCATTAGTTACAGCCTGGTAGCAAAAAACTGCAAATAATGCCTTGTCTTATTTTTAAGGGATATATGGACTCAAGGGAGAGCATAGTGGCTGTTGTGGGGGTGATGGCAGTGCCAGGCGCTGCCCTTGTTCTCATATGGCCTCAAGTAAATGGCTTCAAGTTGCACCAGGAGAGGTTTAGATTGGATATTACGAAAAAATTCTTCACAGAGAGAGTAGTCAAGCACTGGAACAGGCTGCCCAGGGAAGTGGTTGAGTCACTATCCCTGGAGGTATTTAAAAGACATGATGCTCAGGGACGTAGTTTAGTGGTGGACTTGGCAGTGTTAGGTTAATGCTCAGGCTTGACGATCTCAAGGGTCTTTTCCAACCTCAATGATTCTGTGGCGCAGCTGGGGAGGGCAGAGGGGAAATTGCTGTAGGGACAGGCACAAATCTGGCCCTACCCCGTTGTAAGGGGTGACCCTGCTCCTTTGGAGGAGTGTGGGAATGATGCAGGGAAGGAGGTTGCCAAACCCTGGCAGGAAGCCGAGCCAACTGCTGAGCTGGATGGGCTCCTGCAGCAAGGTGGCTGGAGTTGGCGTGGCTTTCTGGTCCCTCCGTGTGACCTCAGCAGCGCTGTGTTGGAGACCTGCGGCATCCCCCTTGCTGGAGCAACAGTACCACCCAGAGGCCCTGAGATAGGTGGTCAGCTCTGCCATGTGCCCTGCACTGTTGTGGCTGCTTGACTGCTCGGCGCAGCTGCTCGAGTGGTGGTTTTGTGGTGGCAGAGCGGTGAAGCCCGTAGTGAGGCTGCACTTGGGGAGCAATGCAGCAAGGGCAGGAGCAGGGAAGCTGCACCAGGTATCAAAAGTCACCGCAATTAATGTCTGCTCCTGGCTTTGTAGTGATGTCTCCCACTGCAGCAGGGAAGAGAAATGTTTATAAGCGCGGAACTAGAAAACCTGACAGCTGGGAAGCCTCTCTGAGCATCACCTGAAACACATGACTTTTTTTCTTCCCATTTTAATCCAAACCAGATTTTCTGGCAGATGGGGCAGTGCTGGAGTGGCAGCCATGTTAGACGTGGTTGGGCATGCAAGGCATGCCTATGTGTCTGGCTCAGGCAGCCTGGTAACATTTTTGGAGGTGCTCCTGAACACAGCAGGGAGCTGTGTGCCTGGATTGGGGAGCAATCACAATTGCTCACACGCACTGCCAGGGTACATCCTTGCCTTCAGGAGCTGTACGGTGTCCTCCAATCATGGAGTGGGATGGAGAGGAGTGGGACAAGCTGTAAAGGGAGCCAGCGTTGGATGGGACGCAGCGGGAGAAGGGTGGGCTCTGGGGACAGTCTCATGCTTGATGGGTTGAAAAGGGGACTGTATCCCGAGTATCTTAAACACTTTGCACCAACAGGGAGCGTGCAGTCTGCCAAAGGAGAGGCCAGTGATGAAGATGAGGAGACGGAGTATTTTGATGCCATGGAGGATGCACCAGCTTTTATCACTGTAACTGCAGACCCCAAGCACCACAGGTACAAGCCCCCACCCTAGGGCCAGACATTGCACAGTGCAATCTGGTGAAACCTGCTGCGAATGCGGGAAGAGCAGGGGGGAGACGGTTTGCCCGGTGTTGTGTTTGGGCTTGAGGGCAGCATCCTCTCCTGTGGAGGGTTATTCTGTGTGCATATCCCCCAGCAAATGGTCTGCCTCTGCCCAGGGCTCTGTACTATGCCTGTCTGCTCTTGCATTCCTGGAGCAAGCAAGGCTGAGGGTGGCCCTAGCTATAGCGAAGCAGGCGAGGAAGGGCAGGCATCAAGCCCATGCTGCAGTAAAGCCGAGTCCCCTTCCTCAGCAGCTGATGTGAGCTCAAGGGGAGCTTGGGCAGGGACTTGGAGGGAGATCCCTTGGAGCATTGGGCAGAAGCAGGGAATACCTTGCCTTTGTCTTCCTTGACCTGCTCTTATAGGCTAATGTTTGGGCTGGAGGCACCTGTGGTCTAAACCACAGTCACACTGCTGGCCTCTCTGGCCAATGCAGAGGCTCTCGGCTGCGAGGCTGGGACACCCTGCGCTGAGCACCCCCTGCAGTGCCTGCGCACGGTCTCCTTCACCCTGTTGCCTTCCTGGCAGCACCTTCGGGTGGTGCAGGGAGATGCTCCGGGTGATGGTGGCTGTCCTGCACCGACCCTGCCTCTTCTTTCCTCTTCTCTGCTCTTGTTCATGTTTTCCAGTTGGTACTTTCTTCCCCACAGGCGTTCAGGCAGTAACCTGAGTGGGGCCAGCGAGGGCCACCCCGAGGACTGGAACCTGGAGGACAGTGTGAGTTGGCTGGGCAGAGTGGGAGGGACAGTCCCAGTGGGATGAAACCAGGGTAGAGGAGCAGGAGAGGAGAGGAGGAGGTTGTTGGAGGGACTCTCCATCCGGGTCTTTCCTGCACCTCCAGGATGGAGCAGAGTTGGTTGCTCTGTGAGCCACGGGGCGGGGACAGATGTCAGCAGTCTTACAGCAGCACCCCAAACACCTTCCTAAGGGAAGCAGAAAAGTGTTGGGGGGCAATTGCACCATTATTTCCCCCATGCCCTGGAAAACAGGCTTCCAGTGATGCTCTCCAGCACAACCGCATGCAGTGTCTCCTGAGCTGCGGTTGCTGCTCCTGGGAGCAATTGGGTCATGCTGGGTGAGTTCAGCTTAGACCTTTGTTTCTTCTGTGCTTCCACAGGTCTTTGAAAGCTCAAATCAAAGCAGCTACAATGAGTCCACTTGCAAAGATCTCCTGCCGAAGAAAAGGAGACGGACTCGCATCCCCGACAAACCCAACTACAGCCTTAACCTCTGGAGCATCATGAAGAACTGCATTGGCAAAGAGCTCTCCAAGATCCCCATGCCCGTAAGTGAGCGTGTCCCAGGCACCAAGGGCTGGCAGAGGGTGCTGCTGTGTTGCCAGTGTTGAGGGTTTAGTTTGGGCACAGCTCTTGGCTGTGCAAAGGATTTGGATTACAGCTCCAGGTGGTCCTGTCAGGTGCTGTGGTAGCACAGCAGCCACGAGTGGGACAGGAGCATGTCACCAGCTGCCAACCCTGTCCTGGGGGAGTGGCTTCCACACTGGCAGAGCCCTCAGAAACCACCTCACTTTTCTCCCCAGCCCTGTGATGCAGCACTGATGTGTCCTTGCTGCTCAGCTCTGCTGACTCTAAGCACTGTGTTTTTCCCTGCGATTTATTCGACCCTTGAAATCATCTGCCTGCTGCCAGAGAGCCAGCATAACCACAAAGCTAAACCAGCTAGGCAGGAGGGGGTTGTCCTTGGTGGCACGGAGCTGTAGTGCTAATTGCTTTGTGGTAAATGGCTCTGGTGTCATGGTTAGGGACTATCTGAATTGGGTTGGCTCGCTCTTTGGGATTGATCTCTTCTCCTGTGCTGGCTGTGGAGAGCCCTGGAGTGCCCATGCCCCTGGCAGCTTGCTCACTGGAGTGTCAGGGTGAGCTGGCGCAGGGGACATTGCCCAAGTGTCCTCTTCAAATCCAGCTGGTGCTGAGGCAAGGAGAGAACCAGGACACCTTCAATCCTTGAGGATTCAGGTGTCTTTCCCAGAGGCTAGAAGAAGAGACCTTGTGGCTGATCATGCTTTCCCCAGAATCATAGAATTGAATCATAGAATTTTTTTATGTTTAGGTTGGAAAAGACCTTTAAGATCATCCCATCCAAC